AAATCGTAGCGATTAATGCCAGCCGATTCGAGGTCCACGTAGTACAGACTCTGGCGCTCCACATCCCAGTGGGGTCCCTCGCCCAGAGCGGCATAGGAATCGGGAACAGCCTCAACCTTGTACGACATCTGAAATTGAGAATGTTCAAATCATGGTTTTTAATTTTATGCATTATTTTTTTTGCACACTCCAAAACTGATAATTAAATAAACAATGACCGCAACGTTTTATATATAGTAATTAAGTTTCTGTACATAGTTTATAATGAATTTAATTGCACATCAATGTGACACTCTCTCTTTTTTCTCACCTTTGAGATTTATTATTTATTGAGTGCTTGAAAACCGTTGAACACTTGTCGGTCAGCTAACGTTGGCAAACTGAATTGAATCGGGTTAGTTGAAACGCTTTTATAGAGGTTCTCACACCTATACATGGCAAATTGATAAGCGATAATTCAAGTTGCCATACAGCCGTTATCAACTTATGGCACCAACACAAAAAACACCCGGCTAAATTAATTATTGAGGTAGAAAGCCTAATCTATGATGGTGCAAAAAATTCAGCCACACTCGAATAAACGAGATATACTGTAGATTTTTATTCCAACAAATGAACAAAAAATTTGTTTGGATTGTAAAATAATATTTAAAACTATTCTGACACAATGTAAAGTATAAATAAATTAACGTCGCTATAATAACATAAATTAAAAATATATATAGAGCAAGCCATCTAATGCTATTTATATTTAGTTTTTGGCTTTCCACTGTGAGTATTTATAAATCTCACCTTATCATGTTAAAAAAATGATCCCAGCCGCAATCTCTTCACACATTTTATAGACCCCATGAATTTATCAAACGTACTATGCATATCTATTATCTTGGTTCATAAACAGATACATGTGTGTAGATATAATTAAGGATAGCATTGCTTTGATATTTCATATTGGTAGCCATGGCAAGGCACTTAAAAAGTGTATGGAAATGAAAGGTCGTAAAACCCATGGTTTACCCGTACGATTTGTCTTATCAATTTCCATAAATAACCAACTCAAACTGAAGTTGTTTTTCTTTTGAGAGCTCTAGCGGGTCATTGATTAAACCTTTTGCGGTGCTTCCATGGCAACTTGGTGTTTGTGTGTTGTGCCCTTCATATGTCCCACTCGCACCCCAACGGAGTGGAGTGGTGTGGAGTGTCTTCTACGTACTATATAGCATGGTATTTGTTTCTGTCTCGACTCCTTGGCGTGTAATTAAGCAGCCAGAGGGAGAGAGGTGGAGCTAGATAGATGATAAGAAAGGCCGTCCACTTGGACAGTGGGTCACTCGAGCGTCGTCTCCCCGCTTTGGTCTTTTACTGTACTTGTCCATGGCGGTTTTTCCTCTCCTTCATATGGCTCTGCAACATCAACACCAATGGCAACAACCATAATAAAAACTAATGAGTTGCTCGGTTGTTATACCCGGTATTTATAGTTAGTGAGGTATACTAGTTAATAGGTTCGTTTAAGGATATATAAACTATATTAAAACTAAATAAAATATGAAATTAAGAAGTCTAGTATGTACAAGAAATAAATATAAAGATATAAAAAAATGTAATATTATTCTTTATATATTTTTAAAATATTCAATTACAAAAACTTCATAAAAGTATTGAGATCTCCGAAAACCTATTATTTTATTATTATTTAGACTTTTTAAGATAAGTGATGCTTAGTACCAAGTATCTTATAGTCGCTATATTCGATTTTCGTTCTAACTTGTTGTTGCTGTCCAATGTTGCTGATGTCTGCTATGTGTCTTTGGCCCAGTGCATTACCCTTTGCCACACTTTACACGCTTGCATTCTTTTGATTTCTTTACTTCTTTTGTGCTCCTCGTGGAGTTCTGTCTCAATTATCTGTAATTGATTGCATCTAAGCGGGCGCCCTAAGTGGCGATTGTTTACCTAGAAATTAAACGCACCGAACAAACAGAGTGCGTAAACAAATAAAAACAAGCGTGTGTCTAGAAGAAAAATAACCTTTGCGATGATAGGATCCTCAAAAACGAAAAGCCGAAGATGATGCAGCAGATGCAGGTTATGCATTGGATACGTGATAGTGCTCTTAAATGAAAACACTCTTTCTCCCTGAGTTTTGCTAACTCTCTGATTTTGGCTGCTCTTTATTCAGCTGGCTGAATGAAAATTACTCACTCAAATTTATAATTAACAGGAAAAGGTGCTGGGTTTTCAAGATATGCTTTACAAAAAATACGGATTTTATTTAAACATGGAAATATAAGGAAAATAAAAGATATTATAATGAAATTGTATTAAAAACTTAACTGGAAGCCCAAGTAAAACCAAGTTTCTTTTGTCTTTTTCACTCAGCGCTCACATGACTCATGGCAATCGAGAGCTAGCAGCTGGCAGGGCTAGCAGTTAGCCGCTAGAGAGTTTCACTCGAGCTCCGCTCTTGCTCAGCGCTTCGCTCACCCTCTTTTTCTCTCTCTGTAAATGTATCTTATTCAGCGAAAAACTCAGCCATCGACTCGCAGCTGTTGGACTCTCGCTGGCTTTATTTTCCTTTAGTTTTCAAACAATTGCAGAGCCGCGTACAACGCGATAACGCTTTGTTGGCTTATATTTTTTCGTCGTATCTAGTACTGAAATTGTATCTGCGAGATACGCGTATATTCTTCTGCCTAGCACACGTGTTTCAATATTTTGTAAGCAAATATATACAGAAATAAAAACCGAGTGCTCCAAGGGCCCCAAAAACAAAGAGCAGATTCTGCGTCATCTGATCTCGGGCAGCTGAATCACTTCACAACCTTTATTCTCATCGCGAGTGCTTCAGTGTCGGTGAATATTGTTTACTTGTGTGCTGCGAAGACGCGCTTCGATCGCGTTCTACATTTTCGGCTTGGAATAATTTAAGTCGCTCACACTCACAAAATAAAAACCAAGAGATCGACCCTCTTTTTGCATACTAAGCAAATCAATAAAAGATATCTAGTTTTTACGCCCAGGTATTACGAAACCCCGGCACTAAAAGTGAAATTTTTAACGCAACAACCCGAAAGTCCCCCATAGCAAAATCGAAAAATATTTATCTCCGTGTGTTGGCAAAAAAAAAGAAAAGAAAATGAAAAGTGACTTGTGACCATATCAGAGAAATCAAATGATTCCACAGTCGAAAATATCAGTAAATTAAACCCAAATAAACCCACTTAGACACCGCAACGCATTCATTTGGATTAATCAATTTTCATTTTCGGACAACCAACCAACAGGCATGCTGTACGCCGATTTCAACATTCTAGCCGAGACCCGTTTTAAATGAGATTTAACTAGATAAATGGTGCGTATCTTCAAGTTTGTCTAGTTCGTATAACCCAAATACGCTTTGATAAATTGAGTTCCTTCCACATCAGTTTTCTCAAACTCACTTTTTAAGCGGAAGTGAAAATCTTTTTAAATCCGATTTTATAACCGATCGTTTTAAAAATGATTTTTATGACAAAGGGTATTAGAAGTTTTGTGGAATGGAAATTAGAGTAACCCCTTAAAACTAAATTAAATCCAATAAAAATAGTATGTGTCAGTAATTTTTATGAATAATATATTTAAATAAGTGGAATTGGAATTGGATTATTACATTAAAAGCACAATTCGCATTTGGGATTCTTTATAAATAAAAAAAACAGTCTATTTATCATTCACGGAAGTATGTATGTAAATGACTAACCAATATATAAATACGACTGAATGCATATAGCCACACTTTGCTTGTTTTTCACATTTGTCTTTAAAAATATTTATTTAATAATAGTTTCAGTACCGAAGGTTCGAGTTGTGAGTTCATCCACCTTTGATACACCCGCATTCCCATAATAACCTTGCCCAACACGAATTATTTACTGATCCCAAACCACCCCAATTCCTGCCTGCATTTTTTGCGTTGCAATTTTTCTACCCAGTCAGTTTTTCCCACCCCCCGCTGGTAGCCTTATGCATTTACTTAGCTAATTACATGGACAAGGTTTAAAATGACCAAGACAGCCAGGTTGCTGCCTCTCTTTCGCTCTCCACTATGTTTATCTTGTTAATTAAGAAGATAACCAACTACTGGTTAATTTTTAATTGTTACAAGACGGTAATTTGTATGCAAGCCAAACTGCCTGGGACTTCGTTTAGAGATCTTAAGAGACTGTTATTATTTTACCCGAGTTCTAGTCGACTCACTTGTGTCATTCATTTCGGATTGATTATGCACGGTCTTGACTCGGTTGAAAGCACACCCCTCTGAAAGTTGTGTGTATTATTATTCAACTTCTGGCATTTCCATGCGGGTTTTTCGGTTTAACTTCCCCGGTTTAGGCGGTTCGCTATATAGCAATTATTATTGTATTCCACTCGCTATATAACTCTGAAACTTTGTATGGAGACTGTGTGTGTGTACGAGTGATTCTGCCTTCTTTGTCTGACTTTGGCACTGCTCTGTTGGCATTTTTAATTGTTTTTCCTGCGTTTCGCTCGCTTTTTTTTCTCTTTAAATTGTTTGATTCAGCCTTTTTTCCGTTTTTGTTTTGTTTGGTGAAATTTGTCGCCAAAGCTTTGTTTATTTCATATTTTCAGCTAAATTAAAAAACAAAAGCACAGAACTCAACTTGTTTCAACCATACGTTAGCTAATTAAGTTCTCAACCCAATTGATTGCCTTTCTTTTTCCCAGTTTTATTTATATTTTTTCAGTTCTGCTTTAACTTTTGTTTTCCATTCGTTGCTAATTGCTTTATCTGGAAAAATAAAAAGAGCAGAAATAAATGGGAGAGTAAAACGAATTGAAAACGTTTTCTTATTGCGAAAGTTTTTGAAATTGTTCACAATACTCCAAGATATAAAAGTGTAACAATTAAAGCCTTTATGACTAATGAATTTTAAAAATTAAACTCCACCTTATTTAAAAACTTAGCTTTTCCCATAACCCTTCACTTTTGTATACTCTATGATTAATGTTTTGAACACGCCTTTATAAACTGTTGATAAATCAATAGAGAACGTTCTTACGGCAATAGTTCTATCCTTGACATAAAAACAATTGTATCTTCATACTTGCGACATACACCTACACACCTTTGTAGCCGGTTCAGAATTTTTCTTTGTTTGGCACGGCTGCTTGCAGTTTTCGAGTTTTAATCTCTTGAATTTTTCTAGTTTCCCAGTCTTGCAGTTTTCGACTTTCACTTCGAAGGACATTTCAGATTCTTCTCTAAATTTCTTTTCAGCATCCTCTTTTGGACATTTTTTCTTCGGACAGACCCTTGGCTTTTCTTTGGACATCATACATTTTTTGAGTTGCTTACACATTTCCGCTTCGCATTTTTTCATGAAATCTTCCTCCTTTTTGAATTCTTCGCACCGTTTCTTTTCAGCTTCTGCTTGTCTTTCTTTCATCAACTGTAAGCATTTCGAGGCTTCATCGTCTTTTGTAGGACATTCTTTCTTCGAGCAGACACTTAGCATTTCTTCGGATTTCGTGCACTCTTCGGCCAGTTTGCACTTCTCCGCCTCTCGCTTTCTTCGACACTCTTCCTCCTCGAGCTTTTTTCGGCATTCTTTCTCTTCGAGCTTTTTTCGGCACTCTTCCTCCTGCTGGAGTTTTTGGCAGGATTTCTTTTGAGCCAATTCCTTGCAACGCTGTTGGAGGGCCAATTTCCTGCAGCGCTCCTCCTGATCTCGCTCAGCGGTAGTCGGCTGCCGGATGGTGATCAACCGGAAGGTGATCTTCTCCGCTGCCATGGCATTGGCTACCATAACCGTTCCCTTTTGCCCTGGCTCCAGGATGTCCATTTTGGTCATTAACTTAAGACCCGACTGCATTATGCGTCGAAAGTTCAGGCTACCGCTAACCATATCCTCCACGAGGAGTGGGTAAATGCCTCGGAAGAGCAAGGATTGAGCCGCCTCCGATTGGCAGCCAGTGAGCATCACAATGGGACACGGTGGCCTCATGCGACTGATCATCTGGGCCACCATGGAGCACGGACTGGCCACCACTATGGCCTGAGCCTGACCCACCGTGGCCGCCTCCGCAATCGCCGTGGACACCGCCGAAATGTGATCGGTGGTTTTATTCCGGAGGTCCCTCTTCAGGTTGTTCTGAACGCTCTCATACCACAAAACCGACTCGGCCTTGGCACAGATCCTGGCCATGCACTGTACACATTCCACAGGATACTTGCCCTTGGCAGTTTCACCAGACAACATGACGACATCACATCCATCGAAGATCGCATTGGCCACATCCGAGGTTTCGGCGCGCGATGGCCGCGGCTTGGTCGTCATTGATTCCATCATCTGAGTGGCACAGATCACAGGCTTTCCCACCTGGTTGCACTTGGCCACGATCATCTTCTGGGCCAGTGGCACATCCTCCGTTGGAATCTCAATGCCCAGATCGCCACGGGCCACCATTATGCCATCGGATGCACGGATAATGTCATCGATGTTCGCCAGACCCTGTTGGTTCTCGATCTTGGAGATGATCTTGATGTGTTCACCCAACGGTCCCAGTGCCTGGCGAATTTCGTTCACAGCCTTGGCATCGCGAATGAACGACGCGAAGATCATGTCCACCCTCTGATCGGCCCCGAACTTGAGGTCCAGCCTATCCTGTTCGGTTACGGCGGGAAGATCAACTGGAATGCCAGGCAGATTGATTCCCTTGTGGGACCCGAGTTTACCACCGTTCTCTACCTGGCAGAGAACCTCGTCCGCCGAGGATTCCTTTACCACCAAGGCAATCAATCCATCGTCGACAAAGATCCGATTTCCGGGCTTAACGATGGCCGGTAATTGCTGATAGTCTACGTAGATCTTTTCCTTGGTGCCATTCTCGTTCAGCTCCTTGTTAGTGCTCAATGTGATCTTGTCGCCGGGCATGAGTTCGATTTCGGCGGTGTCACTGCCTCCGGAAAGTTTTCCCGTTCTGATTTCAGGACCCTTGGTATCCAGAGCAATGGCTATGGTTCTAGGGAGACCTGTTTGCTCCACGTACATAGAGATGGCCTTACGAGCCGCCTGGATCGTCTGGCAATGGTAATCGTGGGAGCCGTGAGAGAAGTTCATCCGCACCACCCGCATTCCAGCACGAATGAGCTGTAAAAGGACTTCAGGTCTGTTGGACGAGGGTCCAATGGTGCAAATAATGCCGCTGAGGGGGATTTTTAATGCTGGTGCTTGGAACTGCAATCGCGACTGGTAGTCCAGCTGGGATAAAAAGGGTCCTCGGTCTAGTCGGAACTTTGGTTTTGGTTTAGGTTCCTAGAGGTGATTGTTTGGTCAGGGTAAAGACTAAATAACTTAACCTCTTAGAACTCACCATCTTCTTTTTGCAATCCCGTGCATAACAGCGGAATCTAAGAATCGATGGGGAGCTCGAAAAAGAAGACACATCGCTGAGGACCGTCCTCCGGCAAAGGTTTCCGGCGTACTTACAAATTTTGAATAAATTTTGAGGATCGTAATGAAATATATTTAAATTTTTACCAAAAACTGAACTATAAAGCTTAACAAATATGATAAAAAGGGAAATACCCGTATTATATACATTGTGATTGCACTTAAGGCACCCTAATTGAACACACCTTGGAAAACCTTATCGCAACAACCTACATCCGAAACCAATACAAATTTCGTACATATACCTAAAGTCTATTGTTTGTTTTGCCGAGTACCCATATCAGCTGATGTTTTACTCTGAAATTACCATTCTGTTTTGACAGTCGCTTCAGTATTCTGATTCATTCATTTGCGCATTTTGCCCCAACTCATCGCATTTATTGTTTTGTTTGCTTAGAACGCGAATGCAATTGCCACAGCTGTCTGAATAATAGAGTGCAGTAAAGATAGACAGTAGGCAAGTTTTAACCTTGAGATCCTGAAAAAGCTAAATAAAAAGACCGTTATTTGCACTTTGGTTGGTTGTTTAACATTCGACTCTTAGCCGGTCGTATTTCTTTGTATTTCTGACTTGTGATATTTCGCACATTCAACAATTCACACACATTTGTATGTAAGCGTGCCCCCTGCACTCCCCGCCCCTGGGAAATGGCACAATAGCGATAATACATGCTTATATATACTTCAATTTATTTTTTATTTATTTGCAAATTAAGTCGTATAATAATATTATAATAACTGGGCTGCAATTGTCATGTGATTTTTCGTAAAAAATAAAGCGTGCGTTGAATTGTTTTTGATTCGACTACTGGGTACCGAGTAATAAACTTTTTGGCTTTGGCTTTTTTATAAAAAGCTTACAAAAACTTGTAAATTATTCACTTTTTTTTTTTATCAGTTATTGACTTTTATTTTATGAATGATTTTTCTAAAAATAAATTACGTATACCCCGATTCCGCATACACTGAGTATCATTTAATCATTTAACATTCGGCTGATTGTTGTTCATTTTCAGTTTTCATTTTTGGCTCGGCTTTTGTGCTGGTGTGTTTTTGTCATTGCCGTGCCATTGTTCGCTTGGCTTTTCCCACTCTGGTGCCCTGTTCTACTTTCTATGGCGCTGATCCATGGGTGGATTGAAAAGTTTCACGGATATCGCTCAGACACACGTTCGCTATAGAGTCGAAGTGTATAAATCATCATAATTTCGTAACAATTGAATTTAGAGCGTAATTGCCGTAAATAAGACGAAATTGCAATGACTGAGAAATAATAATCAAGAGTCGAGTTGAATCGAGTCGAGCCAAACTAAATGGAGTTGAGTCGAGGTACAGAGCACGAGCCGTTCAGCTGTTTCTGCTGCTTCGATGGGAGCATTGAGCCAAGTCGGGGCATAAATTGCGCTAATAAAGCGCACAATTAAAGTCACCATCGTCGCTGAGCAAATTGGCAACACTTTCCAATCGAAACGAGTTGCAGATTCGCTGGAACCAAACTTCTTTTTTGCCGCTCTGATGCTGATTTGGCAATTTTCAAAAATGAAATAAAATAATAATAAAGAAAAGAAATACAAAATTAATTTGGGTTAGATGAGCGAGTTACCCTGAAAGCTGTATCTCATTGGTGCAGCGAATTTTTGTCAAATATGTTTGCCAGCTTGCTGGCGGCGAGGAATGCGGAAATATTGTTTCTTTTTTCTTTTTCCCCCTGTTCAGCTGCTTTTGCCTATCTCTGTTTACGTGCACTTTCCTTGGCTTTTCCTCCCGCTTTTCGCCGCATCTGCATCTGTTTGTTTTGAGATATTTTCGCGCTTCGCGCTGCCGTTTTATTTTATTTTTCCCCCTTTTCAACAAGCCGATGATTTCGTGTTATATAGTGTGTGTGTGTTTGCCATGTGGTGGCCACGCAAATGCATTTTCCACACATTTTCCTTCGTGCATGACATTAAAGTTTTAAATTTAACAACCAGCTGAATGCCGGTCTGTTGGTTCTTCGCCTCGCAGATGATTCCCTTACATTTTTCTATACTCTTTGCCGTTTTGACGACACTTAACTTTTGCGAGCACTTGTGAACTTTGCCAAGTGCGTCAAAAGTCGCGCCCCACTTTCCAAACTCTAAAGTTTAAAAGTCAATATTTTTCTCCGCTTGCAAATATTTTCTCGATTAAAGTTTCGATTAAAAGCAGGGAACGAAAATAACTGTTATTGTAAATTTTTCATACAAAAAAATCACGCACTTAGAAGGGTCCTAAAAATTTTTTAAATACACCACAATTTTTATTAGCCATTGTAGTTTACAAATCCGTAATGATTTTTATTTTTTGATTTTTATAATAAAACTCAAAAATAACTGTTATTTTTTGATTTTTATGAATAACAGTTATTCCCTTGACATTTTTGAAAAAATGAAATAATTAAAAAAAACATATTACCCGTGCTTTTTATAACTTACTAAAAATTTGTTAAAAAAGGCAACCGCGCATATTTTATACCTATATTTTTTTAAAATTTTGTTTACCCACAAAATCGCCATAAATCAAGTTTGAGTTTTATTTTGATCACGACGAATTACTGTTATTTGTCAACTTTTATTATAAAACTCAAAAATAACAGTTATTCTTTGAGTTTTACTTTACAAATCAGAAAATAACTGTTAAAGTGTGATTTTTAAAATAAAACTTATAACAGTTACGTTCCCTGATTAAAAGTTAATTGAGTGTTGAATCAATATACTTTTTTCATATTTCTAAGTTGAAACAATTTTCTTCCATCGCTCCTGATCGCCGTTTAATCTTTAGGAATTTTTAACATTGTAATAAAAACTAACTTTATTAGTTAGGGTCTTTAAAATTGTTGAAGTAATAAGTCACTAGATTTCACCGCAGCTACGTGAATTAAAATCAAGCTTGCTTGTCACCAGACATTGCGCATACGCCACATTGTACAACCAAGCAAGACGAACTGCATTTTATTTGGCTTTTCGGTTTTTCGCCGAGCAGCTTGCGTGCCCAGTGAATGGCAGTCGCTGTCTTAATTCTCATTCCCGATTCATTTATTTTGGGGAACTGTTTTCCGCAGACAAGCCAGTCGTGCAAATGTCAAAAGTGTGACAAACATTTTGTGGAAATTCGGTTCATTATTCGACCAAAGTGACCCCATTCAAAAAACTGATTACAACGATGATTACCATCCCCCAGACAGTCTGCCCTCAGCACGCTTCTAATTTCTTTGAGCCCGGCTTTCTTGGAGCTCGGAGCTGGGACTTTTACAGTATCTTCATCTCCGTTGCCGGCCAGGCACGATTTACTGCCACATTTAGATTTAAACTTGAAAATTTGTTGCTGCAACTGGCATGGCTATTTTTACCATTTTTACCAGCACGTTCTACAAGTTTTTGCGGCTACCTGCCGCGCAACGTGGGAAGTTGGAATGGGAAATAGGAATGGAAATGGGGATTGGTTTGTGGAAAATGGTTTGCTGCTGCTGCAAATGTTTGTCCAAACTGGACGCATTGTTTGGCCGTCATCCATCGCTGTTGTTGCTGGCCAAAAGGAAACGTTTTCCTTGGCTGCCTTAAAGCGCAACCAAGTTGTTGACTCGACGGCCAGGTTTGTTGACTTGTCTCTCGATTTATCTGCGTGTTAATTTGAGCAATTAACATGGTAAATTAAGGAAGCACCAATTCGCCGTAGATATTTTCAACATAAATACACACCTAAGGCTGCTCGGGTTGCTTGTTAACCTGCCAACTACAACATGATCAACATCTCATTGTCTGTTATTTTTTCCCTCCTTCTCCATTTTTCGGTTAACTCTTGGCGTTAAAACAAGCCAAACAGTTAACGTAAGAAATGTGGCCTAAAGTTGACCGAATGAGGAAATGTAAACGATATTTCTGACAATAAAACAATTAAAGTTTGGTTTTCAAAAATAACCGAAAAAGTATAGCAATTAATCATTCGTTTTGATGTGGCGGCCAAAACCTAAAATTAAGCTATTACTTAAAAATAATTAATTTTTGTAATGGTTGTGGTAGGAAGTAATTTCAATATCAAAACGTGATCACTATTTTTTTTTGGTTGAGTAACAGTTTGCCTGAAATAAACTTATTAGCAACGGGAAGCTCTTAAAAATAAGCAAGTACTACTTACTGGCCCCTTTTTGGCTTAAAATTACTATAAAATTTATTATAATATTTATTGAACAGCTCTCAAATATGGCTCAAACTACCTCATTGAAATCCGATTAGTCACTTATGTTGTATACATAAATACCAAATAGTATCTTTGGTAGTAGTTGGCTTTCCTCTGGCATTGCCGACTTGCACACAAGTTTTTTAATGCTTTTTTAACAGAGTATAAAAACCACCTTGCGCCCAGTTAGTCATTCGGCGGCACACACAAACATGTACGTATATATATATAAATATAGCCACAAGCCCCGATATGGCCGGTATACAGTTAACCAATTGTTAACCCAAATGTGCTGCCAACTGATACGAAAACGGCACGGGCTGAGGGGATTCATAGCCGTAGCCATCGAGGTGCGCCTGCGCACAGCACATTGCCAACTGATTCGCTGCGCATTGATTGAAGGGTAAATTACACCTTGCCACATGCGATTCAATGCGATTCAATGCGATTCGATGCGATTCAATCCGTTGACGGACACATGAACGGCGGACCGGGTTTACCTGTCCAAGTCTTAGCGAAACAATGTTTTTTCTTCGGCACATAGAGATAATATAATCTAGTTCTTCAGTACTTAGTAAACTTAGAATACAAAAGTACATTATAATATTTAATAATATTATTATTATTTATATTATTTCTAATTTCTAATAGCTCCTCTT